CTAAGGCAGAATTTGAAACCAGGTCTATCTTATTAAAAGCAAACAAAGAAACTATCTTCTTGTCTTAGTCAGCTTGGGCTGCCATTGCAGAATAGACTGGCTGGCTTAAACAACAGAAATTTATTTTCCCATAGTGGTTCTGGAGGCTGTAATATCCATGATCAAGATGCCAGCCAATTCAGTTCCTGATGAGAGTTCTCTTCCTGGCTTGCAGATGGTTGCCTTCTCACTGTATCCTCACATGGTTGAGAGAGAGAGAGAGAGAGAGAGAAAGATCTTTTTTCTTCCCTTTAAGACCACAGTCCTTTCAGATTAGGGCCCCATCCTTCTAACCTCGTTTAATCTTTCTTACTTCCTAAGTACCCTATCTCTAGATACAGTCACATTGGGGGTTAGGGCCTCAACATAAGATTTTAATGGGAGTTCTTCAACACTATAATAGGCAATTTTGTAATTAGTACTATTTATAATTTTTAAATAAGGATGAAATGATTTAATATCTTGAGCTTTTTTCAGTTATTTTATTCGTCTTCTGGATGTAATTTGCTTTGTGACCTACAATTAATAACTCCATGAATAACTCTCTGGCAAATAGTAATATTTGTTGAATGAATGAATGAATTCTATTTCCTAAGAGCAAGTTTATGGTCATACAGATTTGTGTTCTTGTATGATTTTCAAGTTTTTCTCTCCAAAGTATAAGTTATACATTATTTTTAATGCAAATGACACTCTGTAATTATTCTTCCTAGTAGCTCTAGAATTCAGGGAATGGTTATAAACCTAAACTATCTTTGGTTTCCTAAATTTAATTATGCCTTACGATATGGCACTTCAACAGTCTAATCCTCTTTGCCACCTTCATTGTTCCTCAGCCCATCAAAAGAGTATGTAGCCACAGCAAGATCATTATATTTTAGATATGGTTTTGGAGCACATGAATAAAACTGTCCCAGTGGTTAAAAATTATTTTATATAGCTGGAACATTCCATGGGGAGTTAATATGGGTTCTAGAATATGACAGCGTGTATCAATTTTCAGGTGGTTTTCTCTTTTTCAACAAAGAAAGCCTTAAGAAACATGGTGTTTTTCAAAGTATTTATTTGTTTTCCATAACAAAAAGTTTTGGCCTTAAATTTTTATCTGACATAAAGAAGAAGTTCAAGAGAAGTGCAAAATAAAATAACTTTCTAGCCTCAACTACATACAGGCTGAAGATAGAGGAGAGAAGGGGAGGGATGTAAAATGTTCAGAATCTCTAGGTCCTATTCAAATGGTCTGACTTAAATATTTTAACAACAACCTATCTGAGATTTTAGTGATAAGTGTTGAAAAGTTTGGCTAATTTTTACCAGATTGTCTGTACTAAGATACTCTTTTGGTTGAGATTGGGATGAAATCTATAAACTTGAAACAGAATAGCATATGTTGCCTGGTAGAACAGGAATAACTCTGGGCCAGCTATTAGAAGAGAGTTCCAGGGCCAGCTCTGTGACACTGATTACATCTCTTCAACAGAGATGGCCTTGGAGATTCATTTTTCTTCTAAAATGTTGTAACTGATTTCTCTCCCTCCCTTTTCCCACCTTTCTTCCCTCCCTTCTTTCCTTCCTTCCTTCCTTCCTTCCTTCCTTCCTTCCTTCCTTCCTTCCTTCCTTCCTTCCTTCCCTCCTTCCTTCCTTCCTTCCTTCCCTCCTTCCTTCCTTCCATAAATATTTATTTTACACCTACCGTTTCTTACAGTAAGGAACCAGAATGAAAGAATTTCTGAGCTCAAGGAGCTTATAACTTAGTTGGAGAAGCCCACATATTTAACAACTACTTGCTAAAATAGTCATACAATTTTAAGTGTGATAACTGCTTCAGAGAAAGATTTACCTTAATGGAGAGGGGACGTTTTGGATAATATTTTATGTCTTTATTTCCCAACAGTTATTTCCATGTATTAAAGGGAAGCATTCAGCCTTTTTTTTTTTTTTTACTGTAATGAAATAGAGATTTAATTGCTAATGGGCCAAAATTTCTATAAAGAAGATAATACTGATAATGCAGTCTACTTAGGACTCTTTTAGACTAACTTTAGGACTATTTTAAATATATTTTTAAACAAAATTAGCTGTACTTTCCTAAAATTTTTCTTTTGCAGTATTCTAGGAAATAGGTTTAAACTTATTTCAGTGCCATTTCAAATGTTGGCAATGAGTTGTTTTATTCATGAAGATGATGAGCTCAGAGGATTAGGTGAAATATACTGTTGCTCTAGATTTCTCATTTTTTATGTGAAATTTTTTTCTGTAAATTTTAGGCCAGCTGAAAACATTTTCTTTATATAGCTTGTTGTAAAAAATTTAAACAATGCAGTAGTATGTAAAATTAGAAAACTTTTCCCCTTTGAAAAATCCAACTTTCCCATATGGTGTGTTTCCTTGAATTTTTTTTTTTTTCTGCAGACATACATAACATAACTATACATTTTTTAAAACAGAAATGTGCTCATATGATATATATTATTCTGTAATTTTGCATATTTTCCTTAATAATATATAGTAAATATCTTTCCACGTTGTTATGCAAAATTCTATTCCAATCTAATAGCTATGTAATTCTCCACTACACTAATGTACTGTAATTTATTTAAGCAATCAGATATGTACTTGGGTACTATTGGACACTTGTGTTATATCTAGCTTTTTGCTCTTATAATTATGCACTGAAATCTTTCTGCATCTGTCTTTCCTTCTTCTATAATTATTTCTGTGTATCACTTATTAGGAGTTAAAAACTTTAATTTTGAATAGGTATTTTGATAAGTATTGCTAATTTGTCCTCCAAAAATCTGTACAAATTTATACTCCTGTATATAAATGTGTATGTGTAGCTGCCCCTCCCTTCCTTCTGGCCAGTGCTGCATATTATCAATACTTGCTAATCTCATAGGATTTGCTAATCTCATTACAGTAACTGTAATCTTACAGTTACTTTATTTTTGCGTTTATATGTTTATTAGTGATGTTAAAAAATCTTTGTTAATATTTATAGTTCATTTATATTTTATTTTGTTCATATCCTTCATTCATTAGTTGGTCATTTTTATTTATTATTTTGTGGATACTTCTTATTAATATTCATATCAAAATTCTCATTTATATGCTGTAGTAGTTTTTCCCAGTATGTTGTTTGTTTTTTATTCTGTTTATGCCATCTTTTGTCATGTTCAAGTTTTAAATTTTTATATAGTCAAGTGTTTTCTTTTATGGCTTCTAAGGTTGGTGTCATTCATTGAAAGAACTTCCCAAATTAAGATTTGAATAACGTTCCCACATTTTATTCTTATATATTTTTGTTTTATATTCAAATCTTAAAGTTAACAGAAATTTATTATAACATATGTTGTGAGATTGATTTCCAATTCTATTCCTAAATATACAGGCAATTGTTTAAATAATAGTTACCAAGTAGGCTGTTCTGTTCCTCACTGGTTTGAAATGATTCATTTATAGTGTTCAAAACTTCCATATGCTCATGGGTCTTTGCTTGACTATTGTGTTTCATTAATCCAATTATCGGGGTCAGTAACATACTGTTTTAATCACTGAAGCTTTATCATAAATATTGTATCTGATTGGATAAGTGTATATTTATTACTCACTTTTGACAATTTCTTGCCCCTTTTCATTGACTTACTTTTCCACATGGATTGAAGAATCAACTTAGTTCTTTTTTCTCTAAAAAATTCTAATAGGATTTTGATTAAAACTTTAATCTTTTGTATTGGTTTGAGGAGAATTGACATCTTTCCAGCAATGAGATTTTCTATCTAGGAATAAGATGTATTTCCGTATTTAAAGAGGACTTCTATGTCCAGTGGTACAGTTTTAATTTCCTCAAATAGGTTTTACACATTCCCTGTTAAGTTATTCAAAGGTAATCTGTAGCCTTTGTTGGTATTATTATGCAATCTTTGTTAGAATTACACTGTCAATTAAAACTCTTAGACTACTGATTTTTTGATACATTTAATCAGTTTAATTCTCATTTGATTTATTTCTGATTTTCTAAGTAGCTATCATCTTTAAATAATGATAATTCATTACTGTTGTGGAGTGAGAAAATAGTGAAGGAGTTCCCTGCAAGTGTGGGGAAGCATTTTTCTTTTTATTTATACTGTATGGAGCAGTGCTATATGGGGATACTATTCCACTTTTTCTTTGGCTTTGAGAACCGTGTTAGGAACCTGTTTAACTTTGTCCAAAATGGAGTCCTCACTGGTTGTAGCCTTCATTCATTAGACAGACAAGCTAGTACCTCCAGAGTATTATAAAGGCATGCTTTACTCCTAAATTTTTCCAATTACCCTGGGAGTTGCTTACTCCCGGGCCTGCTCTTGTTTCCAACCTCTGCTGATGGGTTTCTTCCTAGCACTGGTTCAGAAAGTTGGTGCAGCTTCGCTCTGGATACTACATTCTTTTCCTGTTGAATTTTTGATTTTTTTTTCTTTCTTTTCATGCCCTTCTTATCTCAATGCTTTATTTTTTATGATTCTTGTATAATATTTGGTACACAAAATTATGTATATAATCTATGTGTAAATTGTGAAGCAAAATAATAAAATGTACACTGATGAATCCCCCTCCTACCTTAAGAACTTTACCCATGCCATTCCAAATACCACTGAATCTACCAATGTGTTTCTTTCCTATCTTTTCCTATTCCTGCCTTCCTCTTAGAAATAAATTTTGTGTTACCCATTTCCTTTCTTTAAAAATTATCAATATGATGCATACCAAAACAGTACATTATTTAGTTTTAGTTTTGAGCTGTGTAAAACATTTGGCCACATGTTGGCATCAGTTAGGGTTTGCTCGGGGAAGCAGAACCCATATGAGTGATATAGAATTAGGTATTTATCGTAGGAATTAGAATTTAGGCAATTATAGAACCAAATACGCAGTCTCCATAGGTCTTTTTTTTTTTTTTTTTTTTTTTTTACTCCCCTCAGTTTGAAGTCAGCTAGGACTGGGTCTGTAAGTGAAGCTGTACATGAAGTGCGAGAGACCGAGGACAAACTGGAAACATATTTGCCTCCCATGGCCTCCAGTTTTGATGAGGCAGATGACCTGCAGGATAAGATGACTCTCTTGACCCTGGAGCTGAACCACAGCCAGAATCAGAGAAGCTGAACAAGACCTGGAGGTATCTGGGGGGGGAGCTGTTGGCCTGGCTGCTGTCCTTTGCCAAGATCAGTCACAATGTTTGTGAACTGCAACTGCACATGAATGATACTGATATTCTGGGAGTTAAAAATTTCACCTTCCAAATCTCAGATAAATTTCTCTTGTAGCAACCTAACTAAAAAGCACAGAGACAGGGGGACTCTAGGGCACATAGTTTCAAATTAGTTGAATCGACCTAATGAAAAGTTATCCACTCTTTATAGATTTCTGTAACTTTTTTCTCTCAATATTTACTTTCTGAGCTATTTTTTGTAGTTATATATCCTTAATTTTATTGGTATATAATAGCTCATTATGTGAAGAAACCTCACAACTTATCCATTCTGCTGTTTTATGGACATTTCATTTGTTTCCAGTTATAATTGTCGTTATGAAGAATGCTGCTGTAGACATTCTCCTGATGTAATTATAAAAGCATTTCCCAATGGTTTAGAAATAGGAGAATGTAGAATACATGAATATTTGGCTTTATAAAATAAATCCAAATTGTTTGTTAGAGTGGTTTTACCAAATTTATACTCATAGCCATGCCATACAGAGTTTTAATTGAACCACATGGTTGCCAACACTTGGCTTTATCATACTGGTTAATATTTTCTACTCTGATGAAAGTAGAGTGATATCTCTTTGTGATATTTATTTGCATTTTCCTGATTGTTAATGAGATTGAGTTCTTTACATGTTTTTAACACTATATTTTGCAGTTTTTAGTACTAATATATGTTGCAAATATTTCTATGGCCTATCTTTAGCTTACCTCTATAATGTTTTTTAGTGACATAAACTTTAACTATATAATGTGGTCAATTTTATCAGTCTTTTATGATTAATACTGTTTATATCTTGTTTAAAAACACCTAACCTACTCTGAGGTCATTAATATATCCTCCTATACTCTGTTAGCTTTGAGATTGGGTCTTTAATCAAATTGGAATTGATTTGTGTGTGGTTTGTGGTAAGGATCCCATACTCTTTTTTTTTCAGATTTATAACTATTAGCTGAATATTATTTATTGAAGAGTCCATAATTTCTATGTTTTGCATGGCCATCTCTATTATACATCAGATTTCAATATTTATAGGTCTGTTTCTGAGCTATTTTATTTTACCAGTCAATTGATCTAATATCATTTTTATTATTATAGTTTTATAGTAGATCATGCTATTTATCAGGGCAAATACCGTTGCTTTATTCCTTTTCTTCAAGAGTGTGTTGGCTGTTTTTCTTCCATTTATTTTTTATACAAATATTAGAAAAAAAGTCTAGTTTCCATTTCTGTATTCAAGGAACTTAGAAGCCTCCATTCTGTCCTACAACAAGTAAAAAGCTGAACAGACTGAAAAATCAACTCTTCTAGGATCCATAAGAGAGGTGGGTAAATGGTTGGAGAAAAATATACCACGCTAACACTAGTCAAAAGAAAGCAAGACTAGCTATATTAATTTCGTGCAGAGCAAACTTTAAAGTAAGGAACGTTAGGGATGCCCTCTTTAGAGGGCATTGCCTATTGATAAAGGAGTCAATCCTTGTAGAAGAAATAACAATCCTTAACATATATGTTCCTAACAACAGAGTGTCAAAATACATGAGGCAAAAACTGCCTTTATCAGAAATAGATCCAATAGGTAGAAAAATCAGTAGGGACATAGTTGAACTCAATAATCCATCAATCCATTGGATATAACTGACATCTACAGACCATTTCATCAAAAAATAGTAGATTACACATTCTTTGCAAGCACATATGGAACATTCACTGAGACAGACCACATTCTGGGCTATATTTGTTAACATGACTTAACAAATTTAAAAGAATAGAGATCATTCAATATCTGCTCTCAGACCACAATGGAAGTCATAATAATAGAAAGATGATTGGAAAATTCCAAAATATGTACAGAATCAAACAATGTACTTTTAAATAACACATGGATCAGAGAAGAAATCTCAAGAGAAATTTAAAATATTTTGAACTAGATGAAAATAAAAACACAATTTATCAAAATTTGTGAGATGCAACAAAAGTAGTGCTTTGAATGAAATTTATAGCACTGAACGCATACATTAGAAAGAAGAAAGATGGAAAATAAAAAGTCTAAGTTTTTACTGTAAGAAACTAGAAAAAGGTCAAATTAAATTCAAAGTATGCAAATAAAAGAAATAACAAGAATTAGAGCAGAAATCAATGAAATTGAAAACAAGAAATCAACAGTGAGAAAAAATGAAACCAAAAGCTGGCTCTTTGAAAATCAACAAAATCAATAAGCCTCTAGCCAGGCTAATTAAGAAAAAAAGTGAAAGAGAGGATACAGATTACTAATATCAGAAATCAAAAAGGAGACATTACTGTACTCCCAATGAACATTAAAAGGTTAATAAAGGAATACTATGAACAGTTCAATGCCCATAAATTTTATAACCTACATGAAATAGGCCAATTTATTGAAAGATACAATCTGCCAAAACTCACACAAGAAGAAATAGTCTGGACAGATGTATATTTATTGAAAAAATTGAATCAATAATTAATAACTTTCCAAAACTGGAAACAACAGGCCCAGATGGGTTCACTGGTGAATTCTGTCAAACATTTAAGGAAGAAATTATGCCAGTTCTCTACAATCTCTTTCAGAGTATACAACAGAGGAAATACTTCTAACCCATTCTATGAGGCCAACATTACTGTAATACCAAAACCAGACAAAGACATTACAAGAAAAGAAAAATACAAACCAATATCTCTCATGAACATAGATGCAAAAATTCTCAGTAAAATATTAGCAAATCAAATCCATGGCCAATTGGGATTTATCCCAGGTATGCAAGGCTAATTCAACATTCAAAAATCAATTAGTGTAATTCATCACATCAACAGGCTAAAAGCAAAAACAAAAACACATGATCATATCAATAGATACAGAAAAAGCATTTGACAGAAGCCAAAAACCATTCACGATAAAAACTCTCAGTAAACTAGGAATGGAAGGAAACTTGCTCAACTTGATTAAAAAATATCTGTAAAAAACCTTTAGCTAACACCATACTTAATAGTGAGAAACTCGAATCTTTCCTACTGAGATCAAGTACAAGGCAAGGTTGTCCCCTCTCATCACTCATTTTGACATTGTATTGGAAGTCCTAGCCAATAAGAAAAGAAAAAGAAATAAAAGTTATACAGGCTGGGAAGGAAAAAACAAAACTCTCTTTCTTTGTGGTTGACATAATTGTCTACGTATAAAATCCAAAAGAGTTAACAATAACATCAAAAACTCCTAGAACTAATAAGTGATTCGCAAGTTTTCAGGATTCAAGGTTAATAGACAAAAGTCAATTACTTTTTTATATATCAGCAATGAACAAGTGGAATTTGAAATTTAAAACAATAACATTTGCCTTAGCACTCAGAATATGAAATTTTTAGGTATAAATCTAACAAAATGTGTACAAGATCTGTGTAAAGAAAACTACAAAATCCTGATGAATGAAATCAAAGAACTAAATAAATAGATACTCTATACATGGCTAGGAAGACTCGATATTGTAAAGATATCAGTTCTTCCCAACTTGATCTATAGACTCAATGAAATCCCAATCAAACTCCCAGAAAGTTATTTTTGAATATCAACAAACTGATTCTAAAGTTTAAATGGAGAGGTGAAAGACCCAGAATAGCCAAAACAATATTAAAGGAGAAGAACAAGTTTGGTTAACTGACACTACCTGATTTCAAGACTTACTATAAAGCTGTAGTACTGAAGACAGTGTGATATTGGTAAAAGAATAGACGAATAGATTAATGGAACAGAATAGAGAGCTCAGAAATAGGACCAAGTAAATATAATCAGCTGATCCTTGTCAAAGGAGCAAAGTCAATACAATGGAGTAAAGGTGGTCTTTTCAGCAAATGGTGCTGGAACAACTGGACATCCACATGTGAAAAATTGAATATAGACACAGATTTGACATCTTTCACAAAATTAACTCCAAATGGATCATAGACCTAAGTGTAAAACACAAAACTGTAGAACTAGAAGATAATGTGGGAGAAAACCTCGATGACCTTGGGTATGATGACTTTTTAGATACAACACCAAAGACATGATCCATGAAAGAAGTAATTGTTAAGTTGGACTTCATTAAAATTAAAAACTTCTGTTCTGCAAAAGACAATGTCGGAGAAGACAAGCCATGGACTAGGAGAAAATATTTGCAGAAGACATCTGATAAATGATTATTATCCAAAATATACAAAGACAGTAAAACTTAACAATAAGAAAACAAACAACCACATTAATAAATGGGCCAAAGGCCTTGACACCTGAACAAGAAGATATACAGATGCCAAATGTTCATGTGAAAAGATGCTTTACATCATGTGTCATTAGGGAAATGCACATTTAACAAACATGAGATACCACTACACACTTATTAAAATGGCCCAAAACCAGAACACTGACAACACCAAATCCTGGTGAGGATGTGGATAACAGGAACTCAAATTAATTGCTAGTGGGAATGCAAAATTGTACAGTCATTTTGCACAATAGTTCTGCAGTTTCTTACAAAATTAAACATACCCATCTGATTGAGCAGTCGTGCTCACTGATATTTACCTAAAGGAGGTGAAAAATTAGGTCCACACAGAAACCTGCATGTGATTGTTTATAGCAGCTTCCTTCATAATTAACAAAATTTGGAAGCAACCAAGATGTCCTTAGGTAGGTGACTGTATAAATAAACTGTGGTACAGCCAGACAATGGAATATTATTTAGTGCTAAAAAGAAAGGAGCTATCAGGCCATGAATAGACATGGAGGAACCTTAAATGCATATTACTAAGTGAAAGCAGCCAATCTGATAAGGCTACATACTATATGGTTCCAACTATATGACATTCTAAAAAAGACAAAACTATGAGGATAGTAAAAGGATAGTAAAAAGATCAGTGGTTTCTAGGGGTTAGAGTGGCGTTGAGTCAAGGGATGAAAAGGCAAAGAACAGAGGACTTTTAGGGCAGTGGAACTATTCCGTATGATACAATAATGATGTATACATGTCCTTATACATTATCCAGCCCTGTAGAATGTGCAAAACCAAGAGTGAACCCTAAGGTAAACTGTGGACTTTGGATGATTATGATGTGTTAATGTAGGTCCATCAGTCGTAGCCACTCTCGTGGGAGATGTTGATAATGGAGGAGGCTATACATGTGCAGGGCAGGAGGTATATGGGAAATTTCTGTATCTTCCCCCCAGTTTTGCTGTGAGCCCAAAACTACTCTAAAAAACTTGTCTTTTTGTTTTTTTTTAAAAGCACTTGGGTGATCCACTTTGATCAGAACAGTGGATCTGGGACCATTTTAGTCCTGTCCAGGGACCTTAGCTAAATCCGCTAGTCTCAGATTCATTTTCACTGTCTTGCTACTAGCAAGGATTTGGAGTGATGATTTTTGCATTTGCCCTTAGGGCATCTCTGCCTCCTGAGGATTCTTTTTTGGCTTTCCTTTTGAATTTCAGCAAGCTTTTTAAAATATATATATTTTAGTCACTTAGAGATTTTCCTCAAATTTTCAGCTGCATGCAATAAAAAATAATGTCGTATTGAAGCTCTTTTTTTTTTTCCTAGTGAGAGGACTCTAATGTGTCTAATATACAATTCTTCCAGAAGTGCAAGTCCTCCAGATTTCTTATGTTGCAACCTTAAAAACTCTGAGCTAAAAATGGCATAATTTAAATTGACTGATGACCCCCCAAAAGGCAATTTTTACTTGTGAGTTAGGGCCAGTGAAAGTGACCACACACCTTAATTTCTGCCATTAAAATCAATTGACCTGGACCCATATCCTGTTTCTCTATTGTACATTATTACCGAAGTTGGAAAGAACTGTGTACCTAGATAGCTGAGAACTGTTAACCACCTTTCTTGCTTATTTAAAAACTATAAACCAGAGATTATTTGCTCTCCAGATGGGGTTATATGAATCAATAATAGTGAAAAGCCATGCCAAAATGAGAAGGATAGTCAAGAAAATCTCAATATCAGTAGTTTAAGAACTTTAAAAAACAGTCCAGAATGTAGATATGCCTGGATGGTATCCCCAAAACTAAGAAGTCTCTGAAACAAAGAAACAAAACCAGAAGATTATTTTGTTAACCTCTTATTCAATATCAGGCTTCATTATGACTCTCAGATACTTCAAATTAATTTTAAAACTATGAATTGAAAGTCTGCCACTTGAGTTCTTATCCAGACCTTGCTATCAATACTCATGCTTTCCACGATCATGGCAGTAGCAGTTCACTAACATTTTGGCATGCTATAATTTGGATGTAGTTTGAAGTGACCTTTAACTTTGACATTTAGTTCTATGGGGATGAAGTGGGAAAGGAGTCATTTCAATGTTTCAAGCAGTATCCTCACTAGAGAGACTGGGTAGAAGCATGCTGAGAGCACAAGCTTTGAAGCCAGACAGACCTGACTTCACATCCCAATACACAATCCGAGGGAAGTCCTAGACCCTGTTAGCCTCAGACAACCCAGCTGGAAAAATGATCACAGTTCCTTCTTTGCAGGGCTGTGGTGAAAATGAAGTGAAATAATATGTATATTATACTTGACACATAATAGGCATTCAGTAATAGCATATACTGTATTCCCTATTATAATTATTATGTACTTACTTGTCTTGGACAAATCTACATTTTCCTAATGAGGATTAGATAATAAGAGGAGAATGATAATTATTCCTTCCTCTTAAGCAATATTTATCCTTTAATCAAGGAGTGGAGCAAAGGAGGTAGAAGAGGGTGAGCATGGGGATCTCATTTACTAGGTTGGTCATCAATATGAATCACATTTATTGCTCAACTGTCTTCCTCATTTATTATTGGCATAGACATCAAGTAAATAATTTAATCACCATATAGAATGTATGAAGTTATATATGAACTGCTTTCCCTGTAGCTGAAGTTCGAATCCAAATATTATTAGCAAAGTAACTCAAGCAGAGCCAATCTATTTTAGACCACTTATGGTGAAGGTTGCTGCCCAACTAATCTTCCCTAAACAGTGAATTTATCAAGTCACTCTCTTTGAATTTATCAAAACTCATCTTTCTTACG